GGATGGATGGATGGATGGATGGATGATTGGATGGATGGATGGATGGATGGATGATGGGTGGATCTGACTCCCCACTCCCTATGGGTCAGGGTGTTGGATGAAAGAGTAAATCAAACTCAGATCATGGTCAGTTCACTCTACGGGGGCACAGAATAATTTTTCTACAACTTTCATTCAAAATATAAGAATTTATTGACATATTTTTTTTAAGTCTATTCTCTTAGCAACAGGGAGCCAGTGGAAGGACTTCAGGACCGGGCTGATGTGCTCTACTTTTTTAGTTGTAGTGAGGACGCAGGCAGCAGCGTTTTGGATCAGCTGCAGCTGTCTGTCTTTAGGTAAACCTATGAAGACACTGTTGCAGTGATCAATTCTACTAAAGATAAATGCAGGAAGGAGTCTTTCTAGATCCTGTTGGACATTAGTCCTTTAATCCTGGAGATGTTCTTCATGTGATAAAAGGCTGACTTAGTAACTGCCGTTCTGAGCCTCTGAGGGTTCAGGTCTGACTCCATCATGACACAAAGATTTCAGCCATAATCAGTGGTTTCTAGGAGCTATCTCTGGATCTCTGATAGTTTGGTCCAAAGATTATTACCTCAGTTTGGTTTTACTCAGTTGTAGAAAATGACGGTGCCTCTACATATTGATCTGCTCTAAGCATCTAGCCACCGCTCTGATGGGTTCATAGTCACCTGGTGACATTAGGATCACTAAAGTCACGGCGGCGCCTGCAGGCAGTGGCCTGATACAGCTCTCCGTAATTCCACAAAATATGCTGCTTAGAACGCCACAAACTAGGTATCATTCTCACATCAGCTGCTGGAGCTACAATCACAAAATGTTTTTTCTGGACTCTTAAATACAGCCACTCTTGACCGTTTAAAAAGCTGCAGAGTGCCTTAGACGGATGAGCAGAGAGCAGCGGGCTCATGGAGATGGCCATGCCTGAGAGAAGGCCAGAGGAAGCGCTGAGCTAGGTGACGAAAGAGGGGCTGCAGAACGGCGAAGCTAAGAAGGAATTCCCACACACCACTGATCCCATCAATCCTGCGCTCCAACATCCGCTCACTGGATAACAAAACGGGTAATCTCCAACTCAAACTCTTCAAAAAAAGAGATAAATAACTGCTGTGTCATCTTCCTGACTGAGTCTTTGCTTCATTCATTGATAATGCTGGTCGCCTGGAGGGGCTAACATTACCCCAACCTGATAGATAGAGCGAACTAGACTAGAGGGGGCTCTGTGTTTACATCAACATTAAAAATGCTAGATTTATTGCCAGCTTCTGCTCTCCAGACATGGAGTTTCTGACTGTTAACTGCAGGCTCTTCTATCTGCCCAGAGAGTTCAGTGTGGTTAGCATGACTGCTGTTTATGTGCCCCCCCCAGCGCTAACACTAAAGAGGCCATGAAGACTCTATACCAGGCTATCTCTGAGCTCCAATCTGCACACAGAGGCTGTTTTCATCATTCCTGGGGATTTTAACCAGGCTAACTGGAAGACTGTTCTCCCTCATTTTTACCAACATGTGGAC